CCCCACGCGCCCCCTGGCCAGCCCCCCGCCCCACCCACACCGGCGAGACGCCCTACGCCTGCCCCGAGTGCGGGAAGACCTTCGGACGGACCTCCAACTTGGTCAAACATCTCCGGACCCACACTGGGGAGAAGCCCTACGGCTGCGGGCGCTGCGGGAAGACCTTCAGCCTCAGCTCCAACCTGGTCAAGCACGAGAGGACCCACACCGGGGAGAAGCCCTTCTCCTGCGGGCAGTGCGGGAAGCGCTTCAAAAAGAAGACCCACCTGGTGTCCCACCAACGGACCCACACCGGCGAGCGGCCCTACCGATGTGGAGAATGCGGGAAGGCCTTCGGGCAGAGCTCCACGCTCATCGAGCACCAGAGGACCCACACGGGCGAGCGACCCTTCCGCTGCAGCACCTGCGGCAAGAGCTTCTGCGTCAGCTCAAACCTGGTCAAGCACCAGCGCATCCACACGGGTGAGAAGCCCTACGGATGCGGGCACTGCGGCAAGCGCTTCCGCTACAAGCCCCAGTTCACCCGTCACCTGAAGGTCCACCCTGATGGGGACCCAGCGTGTGGCCCGTAGGACGCTTGGAGGTGGATGGGGGATGCTCACCAGGACGGTGTGGGCACCAGCATCTCCATGGTGGGATCCCTCGTCGTGGCATCCCCATGAGGACCTAACGAAGGAGCGTGGTAGTGCGGGGTGGTGTCCACCACGCTGTGTCTGAACCTCGTGGGTGGCCTGTGGGATCCCCGGGGATGGATGGGGGACACCTACCAGGACAGTATGGGCACCAGCATCTCCGTGGTGGGGTCCATCATCATGGCGTCCCTGTTAGGACCTGACGTAGGGGGTTGGTAGCACAGCATGGTGTCCGCCACACTATGGTTGAACCTGGCGTGTAGCTGCTGGTCCTGCTTGGAGATGGACTGAGGACACTTTGGGGACTTGGCAGGACAGGATGGGGTGGGGGTATCTCCATGCTGGGGTCCATCATGCCAGCAGCCTCCCTAGGGCTTCAGGAAGGAGCATGGCACCTGGTGGCCCTCACCACCACACTGTGACCACCGCTCTACGTCTGGCCCCAAACCGTGGACCTTGGAGCCACTCGGGGGGCCTCTGGGGGGCTTGGCAGGACCGGACAGCG